TTTTTTTTTTTTTTTTTTACAAAAATTGAGTTGTTTTTGTTGACATCACTTCCACACTTCAAGTGCAATCTTCCTTCTGGTTTTAAATTGCACTGTCATGAGCAAAATGTACTGTGACATTTTAACATGTGGTGTGAAGTCACTTTAGCTATTATTGCTGTTTACCTCATATTCCATGAATGAATAGAACACTTAACAAAGCTACTGTGCAAGTGTTTTCATCTGATGTAGTTGTAAAAATTCCACAGTTTCCCTTTGAAACAGTTATAATTTAGTTACATGTATTAATGTTGGTATTGAGAGTTTCACATCCATCCATTACTTGGCTTGTCCAAAATATGTACACAGTATGAAATAATATTTTCAGCGGACATTACATCTTCATAATATTATTTATACGGTTATACCATCTAGTTCTTATTTCCATTCAAAATTTGATAATGAGAAATACTATGACCCATTCACCTGTTCTCTGATATCTGTAATGTTTACTACTGGTTCATGGACATATAGATGAAGACACTTTTGAAAGTTCCAAATTTTGTGGCATGGTTTAGTGTTCTGATTCATTCATGACAAGGTATTTACGATGATCATGTCACCCTTAAATCAACAGCCCAGCCTGGGGGTTTGCTGTCATAGCTGAAGTGTTCCTCTGCACTGCAGCTTGCTTCTGACGCTCCTCTTGAATCTGTCTCTTTCTTTGCCTCTTGACTTAATTCAACATCAATGTCATCACTGTAAGGGTTTTCAAGGAGTTTAAGGACTCTTTTGACCTGAAAGAAGGATGGCAATTTATTATAAGCCATTTGTTTATTTATAAGAAATCTCCTGTTATCCAACAAGCTAAGCTATCCAAGAAACCCATCATAAGAAGGATGGCAATTCATTAAAAGCCATTTGTTTATTTATAAGAAATCTCCTGTTATCCAACAAGCTAAGCTATCCAAGAAACCCATCATTTGAAGAGCCTTCTGTAAATCTCTATGGTAAGGGGACTTGACGAAGATCTAACAAAAAATATCCTTGCAAAGGTCAGGAAAGGATACTCCAAGATCCTCAGCAATTTCAGGAAGATTGTGCCAGGATCGTAGAGTACCTCAGGTTATTTCCGGATCTTTAGAGATTCCTACTACAATCTTGAGGATCTTTGCTGGACTACCTTTTCCTTCAGTTTTGGTAATAATATCCATACTATACCTCTGAGAAATCTCCCTTCTCTGCTGCAGAAATGGCATTCTGTGCAATATAGTTTCTGAGAATAAACCTAAGAGAAATAAAACAAAAAACGAGACGAAGTCAAGATGACGAAGGGAGTGAAAATAAAATGCAAGTTCAATTGTTTAGTAATTCAAATTTATCACATTTCTGTTTTGTGTTTAAGAATTCTTTTCCATACTTTCACCAGATTGTCCAGTTTAATAGCAATAATTACTATTAAGTATATATTAATAATTAAAACTACCAGACGGAGACTAAGGAATGAAGCTAAATGAACTTTGCCAGATGATATTTGGACCTTAAGCTCAATTTTAATTTTTACTTGGAAACACTTTTTTCCAGCATCTTAGTTCACAGTTTAATTTTGATTTCTTTTTTCCAAAAAAGAAAAAAATGAAAACAAGTGACAGGTTGTTAGTCTTCTAGGGTTACCTTGGATTGTTGGACTTCATCACTTCAATCTGCTCCTTCTTTGCCTAGAGTATGAAACAAGAAAAAAAATGATAGCTAATCAACAATTTCATATTGGACCTGCAAGGGTTTTGATTAAAATGCAAATTAAACACTTCCTTAAGTTATAAACAAGATACAGTTGAACCTCCCTGACAGGTATCCCTCTGAAGCAAAGTGACAAAGTCATGGTCCCATGCCAACTACATAGAAGTTTAACTCCCATAAGGAACACCTTTCCTCAGCTGACACCTTAAATCCTGATCCCAAGAAGATAGCAAAGGGTATATGTGACTATGATGTCACATGTCATTCTCACCAGCCCCCACTCCTGCCCCCGCCTCCCCCCTCCCCCACAAAAAAAATTACTCAGCGTGATTAATCAATTTACATGTAAAATTAAATTTATATTATTTTGACTTCATTAGCACATTGGGCAAGCAAAGGGCAGAATAGGCCCTTTGCACGATCCGGTCACATGGTACGGAATTAATTATGCTGGGACGCAAGTGACACAGTAGGCCTTTCAAAACAAAGGAAAGTCAGACTGGACTGGTACGAGTTCCTTTGTTTTGGAAGTCACACTGTGTAACTTGCGTCCCAGCATAATTGATTCCGTACCATGTGACCAGATCATGCAAAGGGCCTATTGAGTATTCCAAATGTGAAATTGACTAGTCCTGGGCTACCAGACATGACTTTCTTTGCACACAGCAGGGGTGTCTGCTTATTGGAGGTTTGACTTTACAAAGCTTAAAAATGTTAACTAAATCATACTTTCTCCTTATCTTGCTCATCTTCAATGTCCACATTTAGACGTAATCTGAAATAAACAGTTTATCAAATACAACACTGAGTTCCATAATTTATTGTTGTGCTCAGTTAATCAATGCTTTTAATTTTATACAAGTGTGGTTAAAAAAAAACACAAATGGATATTATTTTATTACACCTGTATTGGTCAATCCAGTCTTTCCATAGTTGTCTATCTTTAGCTTTCTTCTCTTCTGGTTTCATCTCCTGTAACACAGAAACAGACACAAGCACAAGCATGCTCAGGTCATGCAGTTTAAAATAGTTATGGATCAATATGAAACAATACTTAGTAGTTTGTCCTTTTTACAAAGCACATTTGTAGCAATAATACTTTATGTACAATAAACCTGACACAATTTTCACAGCACTAATTATAACATGTCCATCCAGCTGACTGATGATCAATCTACCTCTGAACCATTAAAGAAAGCTAGACTGAGGTGAATCAAAGTTCAAACTGGGAAGGACAATCTCACATTCATTTGCTGAACCTTCTCCCTCCTCTCCAGTTCCTTCTGAATCAGAGCTGCTCTACTCCCCAGCTGTTCTAGGATACTGGGACTAGTCCGAAGTAACATCATCAGCATCTGAAACTCTCTAAGGAAGAAAAACATTATAACATGTCAGCTGGACAACAACTATCTACAGTGTATGTGTGAAACAGCTCCATTACAATCAGAGGCCCAGCCATGCCCTTAATCTGATTTTGAAAACTTCACTACAATAGACTCACTGATTGTAACAACCAGATAATTCTGTCACCAGGGTGATCTTTGTAGAGAGGTTCCATTTAGCCTAGTAATCTTTCATGTAGACCTTAACTTGGCTGTTGCATGCTATATAAAGGTGTTTCCAGTAAAACAACATTTAGAACAAGGGATATCTTATGTGACTCATACCATTGTCATGATCCACCTGGGTCAGTAACATCTGAGGCAACTCAAGAGTTAATCTTTGACAAGGCTCATTAACATCCAGCAGAAAACTTAAACGCGGTGGCCAGAATGAGTGCCTATATGATATGTATGTGGTACAGTTTTGCCCCTCAGGTGCCTAGTGCAGTGTATGTGACAGACTGAGTACTTCAAAACTTTCAGAAATTTAGTCAAACCCCTGGCACACTGGAAACAATTTTTATCAGCACCTGATATTCATAGGAGGTTTTCTAGACTGCTAATTTCCCATTGCTGTGACATCATATGGATATCAAATTATGTCAACCTCAGCGAAATAAATCACATTGAAGAGACACTTTTACGACCTTTCAAAACTTATGCCTGGCATAATTATGCAACTATGTAACTAAACCTTGCTCCAAGGAAGGGTTTTGAAGCTTTTTTCATGTCATCCACTGTTTGGCACTGAGACACCAGGTACTCCAAAATATTTTCATCACTGCGGCAAAGAGAATATCAGCACTTGAGTCTACAATGACACACATATTAGCCACCAAAGAGACAACCATGTCACTGACAGGAAAGTGCTTGTCTCTAGTTGATAAGTACACAAAAATTCTCCTCACTACTGAAGTAAGTAATGTATAGAGACTGTGAGAAAAGTTTATATATAGAATTTGTACCTATCATCCCCAGAGGAGCCACTTTGCAGGGAGATCCTGGAGAGGCATCTAAAACAATTTGTAAAATCAGCACCTACAGGTTGAAAAGAGATTCGAATGACTTTCATGAAAAGTAAGATCGTTGACAGTTTGATTAAAAATTAACTTGAGTTATAAAGTATACACCACTCTAAACATTAAATACTCCAACCTGTCTTGTGCATGGTTTCCAAGAGGCTCTTTACAAGATCTCTACAAGGAAAAAAGTTCATTTAAAGAAACTATTAATAAATAAAAATGGTATGATTTTGTAACTGACCATAGGACTTGAATAAAGTAGTGATCGGAATACATTACATTAAACACCACCAAAAAATTTACGAGGAGTGAAATAAATTAATATGACTGTTACAAAAGTGCTCAATGAAGCTCGTTAAAAATGAAATTTTACACATACTCATCTTCAGGTAATTGCTTCTTCAACAAACCGAGCTGAAACAAAAATATGATTTACATGAGAAATTTACCTAATGTATAAAAAAATAAATACTTTGTGTTACCTACTAACCACCAAGTGAGTGAGCTACATTGGACAAATTTAATTAACAAAGTACAAAATTAACAACTTGTTAGTTACTCTAGGAGTTTGTGTAAAAGATAACCTTGGCTAATTCTTACATTCAAGACTCAATGTCAAGATCAACTTCAAATAAATATTCTCGTACATTGTCAGCTAAACTTCAAACTTCTCATAACTTATAATAGTAAAAACTGGAACATTGGATAATGTAATTCAAGAGTTTTTTTTGGTTTAGTTATCATGGTCTCTGAGCAGTAATACCATGTTCTACAAACATGGTACATGTAAATATATGCAGTATTTGGCATTTTTATTTTAACTAGTTTTGATTAGTTTTCTATGTTAGTGGGGGTGTAAAACAATTTATTATTCCACTTACGTTTGTTGAATACGCACCTCAATGACTATCTACATGTATCATCTTGTATCCTTGGAACACATGCTCATATTAATATAATAATTGTTAATTAGTTTATTATGGAATTTGTTATAAAAAGGTAGCTTCATCTGTACTACCTTGAGTCTCATTTTCTCCATGTAGGCCTGCTGATACTCCATCTCATAACTGAAGTAAGATTTTGCTGTTAGTATTATTATCTGGGAGACAGATGGCATGTCAAAATAATATCTCATTACCGATTAACCACATGAAACAGGAGTACCGGGAGAATGTTCACCCTAGGTTTTTCAATAGGAAAGACCAAGGGCTGATGTATATTCTCCCATGCATAGTGCAGTCCTGTCCAAGCCTTTTAAATTAATGAAAGATTTATTCATACATGTACATAAATTTCTGAATGGATAAGAACTCCAGTAGAAACTTAGCCTAGTCTTGTACATTTGGCACTAGCTTTCTGATTGGCCACTTTAACTATTGTAGTTATTTACTGTCTCTGCTGTCTTGGTCAAATAATACACCTTTCTGATTGGCAGACTGTAGTAGTTTCCCTTTCCCTCTCCTGTCTCAGTCATGTAATATAAGCAATATTTGAAGAATTTTCAATAAGCAGTAACAAGTAAGGCTCAGTGATGTCAAACCTATGAGCTAGTACAAGACTGTTCTTTAGTTCAAACTACTATTTAAGCATAACAAATAAGTTTTAGATGTAAGTCAAGGTGAATCAATCAGCATCCAAAATTCATCTTTTTCCTATATAATTGTCATATTTTGTGCCAGATTTACAAGCTCTCTTGTTGTTTCGATCCAGCTTGAGTACAACAAGCCATTTATTCTGAATATGTTGTACACTTACATTTCTTCAACAGCAGCTTTTGATCTTTCTAAAGGAAGCACATCTCTGATTGCCTCAGCTAACTTGATCAGATTCCACTTGCAGATCTCAGGCTGGGCCTGATAGCAATACCTTGCTTGATCATCTGTTGTCACAAACATCCAATTATTCACCTTAAGGTTACTTCAAACCTTTGCAGGGCTACATTGGTCGATTTTTTTTTGGTCAAGAAAATTAAAGTCCGCCAGGCTCAAGTTTGCATACTGTGAACTCTAGGGGTTCTGTTATTTCATTGGCTCGCGGCTTTTCAAGTTGACACGTTCCTCTGTGANCCAAGGATACTCATATTGTCTGTGTTCAACACCCTGCAGTGCAGAAAACAACATCAAGAATTTGTCAAGTAATACAAGTGGTCTTTGAGTCTACTGACACAATTTTACAAAAATGTGTTATTCCCCAATGCAGTGGAAAGGTTAGAATTTAAATAAATGAAGATCCAGCTCCAATCTTAAAGACTAAGGATCATGTCTCCTGATTGTATTTCAATAAGACCTGCATGACCATTGCCATCCTCATTTTCAAATATGGAGCCATTGTACAGTCAGTGTAAATTTAAAGGAACAAAGTGATGAGAAAAAAGAAGGCAAGATTGTTTTTACATACTAAAAAGTTGAGACTATGAATAAATATTGAACAATATAATTAGGATGCAGCAATGATCTTCAAACTGAAAGGGTTAAATTTGATAAACTGAATAATTATACACTCACAACAGTTAATTAAAGACACTGTTGAGTGAGTCTAGTGAGTACCACTGGTAGTTATTGTTATTCCCAGTACAAACCAGCTTATCAATATTTAAGAATTAATGGCTTTATATCATAACTGTACATTTTCATCTTACCCATGACAAAAACCCACACATTGCCACTTTGCTACAAGTCTTGCTGTGAACCTGATAACTTCTTTAAAGAAACCCAGATATGTCTCTTCGCTGTTGTCTGTCACAACCTGTAGAATAATCCAGGCCCAAGAGTCAGGCTGAAAGTTTCATAGAATGAAGGCACATTGCCAGGCTAAGAAGTCGAAGGGGGCAAATCCAACCCACCAGAGGGTTAAAGAGACACAGTCTGATCATGGGGTCAGATAAAAGCCAGCTGTTGAATCAAGTTGCTGTTAATAATACATTAAAATGATAATGAATATGCCTACTCTTCCTTTCTACTTCTNTTTCTAAGAGAACAGGTAAAAAGTCCAAGGGGAAGAGGCTCCCAATGATTTTGAAATGATAGAAATGCCTGTTAGAAATTTTGAAAAGATACCTGGGGATGTGTTCTAGAAGCACCCGCGTACCACAGGTGACTAACTTTTGACTTTGGGTGCCTGGAAAAACTCACTTTTTTCTTTAAGCTAAAGTGCTGGGCAGATTTCATGTTTAGGAACCTTTGGGCTCCTCGAAAATTTTTTTTAGACCACACTCTTGATACTAGAGCCGCTTTGTGGGTGTACATTAATTCATATCAATTCATTATCCATCACCTCACTGCAAAGAAACTCTCTTATGCTTGATCGTAACACTTTTCTCCCATCTGCTTGTCTGGAATAAGGAGTGAGGCCGGCACCTTTAAATTGTATCTCCCATCTTTCTCCTTTTCTGTTCACCACCTCGCCAAGATACCTGAAACAAACATATATTACATAATCTGTGCAAAATACAGTGCATACAGTCAAATCTCCATAACAGCCACCTCTCCACAACAGCTACTTCTCTGCAACGGCCAATTTTTTATGTCCAGGCATGCAATTCATACATTCACTTGAATGTATTTTAATCCTGCTACAGTGACAATGACCACCAAAGTGCACCCCAACTGGCAAAATAACCTCTTGACAACAGCCAATTAATGGGCAACTGAGGAACGCTGTATACAAAACAACACGTTTTTTTTTTTTTTGGAAAAGGTCACGAAACTGGATCAGTTCCACGTATCGCTGGTTGCTGGTTCTGTTTTATTTATTTATCTTGCTCGTGTCACTTACTTATATCTTACAGTACGCATTTTTAAAAAATAAAAATGCTGCAACCCGAAAAAGAACAGGAGTCATATTACACCCCTACCTCCCCATAACCATAACCTCTCTACAAAGGCCAATTTTCTCTGGCCAGAAGGTGGCTATTTTGGAGAGGTTTGACTGTAGTACTGTACAATATATTCCAGAGCAGTATTCCTATCCACTAAAACATACAGTAGAAACTTTCCATACAAACTCGTATCTTTTTGCCACAGTAAACTAACATACACAGCTTGAACTTGGGTGTCCCATGGCCTTATTACATAATAATAATAATAATAATAATAATAATAATAATAATAATAATAATAATAATAATAATGTGCAATATAAACAACAATAACCTTTGCACCTTCCAATTCAATTGCAAACATTATTGCCATCAAACGTCAACTTACATTGCAGCACCATCTCCCAGCTGACCAGAAAAATACCCGAACTGGTGACCGCAGTAGCAATGAGCTGCGGGTTCCGTCCCCGGCAAAAGTTTATTTCCACTAAAGTATTCTGCAAAATCATCACGTTGCAACTCTTGTTCAGGGAGGTCCAAAAGAGACATTGCAGTCGTGGAATAAGCCACTGTTGTGGCATTTTCCACTGGAGTTGGTTCAACACGAGAGAAACACGCTCCAGGGACCTGCCGGACGTAATTTTTGACCTCTTTATCGATTGGTAGGGACCTCAATGCGAAGTTGTCCATGTTCAGGGTTTCCAAAGTGGCCATCTTGTATTCAAATTTCAGTGGTTCTTCGAGGCTTGTACAGAAGAAATGTTTGAAATATGCGACTGGAGAAGAACATGAGGTTTTTCTTCTATACACAAGATTACAACTGAAAGCCGCGGAGTACAATATTTTTCGTGACAAACCAAAGTAATACATGAAACAAAATTATGTACAATTTACATTTCAGATGGTTTCTGGGATATCAAAGGTCGGGAGTAAAAAATCGGGCCAGAGTCGTTGATAGTCGGAATAAAGTCGGGATTGATTTTTTCCCGATTATTTCCGATTTCTTCCGGCTCTAGTCGGTCCAGATCTCTGAACGAATCACTCATGGATCGTGGAAGATTGGTACCCATACTACGAGCGTGACCTTCCAAGAAGTCCGCATGCTGCAAAATAGGCTTGCTCTTGTCGACTCGTTTTCTCGAGAATAAACCGTGGAAATATGGGAGAAGTAAGGTAAGAAATTGGCTTCGTTAACCCTTTTTGGTTTCATATTTCAAGCGCCTCTTATGTTTTTATTTTAATGCACCAGAAAAATTTCACCGTCTACGAAATGGGCGCAGCGAAAAGACAAAGTCTTTCTGACGATAGAACTGGAGGATTGTCAAACGCCTGAGATTAAACTCGACACGCAAACCCTTCATTTCAGGTAAGCCTGTAGCCGTTCTTAGTTACGTAAGTATCTATGCGAAATCTCTGTTGTCCGAGTTGCAGTAGATCTTGATGCTACTAATAAGTTTACGTGCGAAAACTGGCGAAAGTTGACAATTTTCACACACAAAACCATGCCAGAGACAATTTGACCAATAGTCCGTGCGCCTTCTAATTGGCTTGAAATCCTTGTACAATTGTACAAGTCATCAGTTTGAGATTATATTGTTTGTTTATTTTCAGTGCCAAGGGAGGAAAGGAACAAAAAATTTATACATTGGATTTAGAATTCTTCAAAGAAGTTATTCCGGAGGTAAGCTTCCATTAGTCGGTATTTGATTTTTTATTTAATGTTTTCTCCTGATTTTCTCGTTGGTAAAACTTTTGACATGTAAATAGAATTAGTAAAAACACATTGGAAGGTATCTTAAATAGTTCAGATGTCAAACATTTCATGCACACAAGCTGAATTTTGTACTGGTTGATGTGGTTCGTGAGAAGTATGACATTTGATTGACATGTCAATCAGTTTCTTATGTGTATCTGGACAAGTAAATTTTCCTCTGGCAGGAGCTTCCTTATGTAAGCTGCCAGTAGGCAGGATTTTACAATGGAGCACCTATTGTATGGTCTTTGAATGATTATCTGCTAAAGAAAATGATCCAACAAACAAAGAGGAAGTAACTTATTTTGCTTAGCCAGTGGAGGCAATCAAGTGCAGCTTTCATTTGCTTTAACAAACATGAAAAGCAAAGCATACAGATTGTAACCCGTCCCATTCTTTGACATGTCTCACTTTTTCAGTATTCTGATGAGTCAGTTAACCAAGTTTTTGCTATATTAGGAATATTTAAATTATATTTAAATCCCTCATTCTTGGTGGATGAAACAAATTGTAACACTCAGGAGAAAAGTTTTATCAAGGTCGCATAAAAATTGCTCTAACTGGCACAGTGCATGCTCACTGATTCAGATATAATTTGTACACTGCTTGTAATCAGTCTTTTCTTTAGAAGAATCCAATGAGGTTTATCCCTGTGAACATTAAGGCAGTATGGATGAGAAGAGATTGGTGCTAGATATGATAGTGCCACACCCTTAAGCCCTTGCCAAATGGACTCGTAAGTAGCCACAAGTTAATCTTGCATAGAAACTTGCGTAGGGTGGCCAAACGGATTCACAAATTTCCTTGCAAGTACACGCAAGTCGCAAAAGAAACCATTTCAAGGCAGACATATCCTGTATTTCATTGGCTGAGAATAGGTTAATGGATGTCACTAAACTTGAGTTGACTTGGGTTGGGTGGCCAAACGGTGAAAAGCTTGCATTGACTTGTGTACAAATTTGATCTTGACCCAAGGGATCACAAGTCATTGTTAGTCAACGCAAGTGCACGCAATTTCTGGCCAAACGGAGTCGCAAATAGACCCAAATTTTTAACTTGCAGCTACTTATGAGTCCATTTAGCAAGGGTTTATGTTATCATGTCTCATCTTTCCCCATACTTCCTGCCACTCCCTGCCTGATTTCAAGGGAGAAACAGACTGCAAGTTGTCTAGAACTATGACTGATGATTTATTGACCATGACAAAAGTATGCACGCCTATTTCAAAATGAACTTCCTTTTAATTTGTTGGTAAAGATTCATTACATTAAGCTAAAAGTAACCAATTAGACATTCCACTTTATTTTCGTGGTCTGCTGTCTTGTTTTCACTTGTTTCACTTTCACTTTTGGAAAAGTACGCAAGCTAAAATAAGTTTTCAGTTTCAGGAAATATTCATATCCTTCCCCTATGGATTATCATTGGAATAGGTCATATTCGTATTTTCGGAACTGGACTGAAACTAGCTTGGAATAGAGGCTCATGCAGAATGGAATATCATTAAAAAAGAGATTAATGTCATTTGCATTTGAAAAGACTCCCCGCATTAGCCTCAGTTGCAAGTTAGTTCAGGTCCAATACTGAGAATACTATGGTTTATTCCAAGTCGTTTGGATCCCAAAGGCTGATTTCTTAGTATGAATATTGTAGTTCATTAAAAATGAACTAGAATTTCAGAGGGATGGGTGGGGTGGGAATCAAGCCTAAAGCCTTTTGTGAAGGGTGTGCATGGGTCTTTTCTGAAACAGTACAATGCATTTTCAACTCATTTTGTAGCTATTTACCTGTAAGTGTAAAATACTCTTGGCAGAAATCTAAACAGCTAATAACTGCAAGGGAAATAACATTCAATATTGTCAAGAAAGAGGAAGGACCATATTGGCCAAGACTGTATAAAGAAGGAAAGAAGGTGAGGTTGGCAATACTGGTGTTATATCTCCAATGCAAAAAGCAGGTTAACTTTCTGGCTGGATGTTTGCTATAAACATTACCATGTCACTGATTTGAATTTCAAAGCTCAATTGCAGGGCTGTCACTAAGTTTTGAGGCACCCTGCCTTGTTCTCCATGTCCATAGCAAACTCCTAGTACCTTGTGGTTAAATTGTATACATAAACAACAGGCAATTTCACCCGTAGTATCCAGGGAAAATCAGGCATTTTCAGCTGTAACAGTTGCTATGGCTTACAGCCCTCAATGGCAGACCTGCAATTGTGACAACAATTTTGAGCAGTGAAAGTCCGTCTGCCCACTACAAAATCAGATGTAATCAAATTTACATTGAACCATTCATGACAGCATATGGTTCATATCATTTTGTTGATAATTTTCATTATTGTCATTTGCTGGTGTTGTAGCCCAGCTACCTTCATACTGACTTTAATAAGTGGAGAGATGAAGATGACTCTGAGGGGGAAGACCTAGGAATGGATGAAAATAATTTTGAAGCTGTAAGTAATACTGAAGATACATACCTAACAACTTCATTGTCACAGTAGTCCTATTCTTGTTGCTGAATTTTTACTAGTGTACAGTAAATTTCTTTGCTAAGGAGAGATTTTGATGATTGTTTCTACAGATGATGAGTCAGATGGGTGGAGCTGGTGGGCAGGTAAAGATGCTCATTGGTTTATTTGATCCCATATTTATATCTTATTAACCAAGCGTAAGGGTGGTACTAGAGAATATTGGCCTGAGGTCTTGAGAGTATGGGCTGAGTGCAGCTAGGTCTGCACAAAAAAAGACAGAGAGCCAACATTCTCCTGGTACGGTCCCGAGCAATCTTGGTTAATAGGGGATTTATTACACAACTGAAAATATTTAATAGAAAACAATGCCACGATCGCAAACTGGAAAAACATCACAAACTTCAAAAGCATAATTCTGATTAGGAGCCGACCAGGCATATACTCACATTCTATGTTAAACAAAACAGAAGGGAAAGAGAGCTGGAACCTAAAAGAAAGGAATTTATCTTTGACTTGAGAGCTTGTTCTTTTCACTTTGTGGATTTTTTTATCAGTACACAGTAAAGCCATGCAGTACATTTTATGTAAATATAAGGGTGGCAAAAGTCCCATAAAATTACACATCTCACAGAATTTTCACCAAATCTCATTATGGATAGTCTTCCCATCTTGATTTGTTTGGCAAATTATGCCTTTGTAGAGTCTTGATTTCTTTTGCAAGGATAAGAAAGTCTCAGGTTCATGGAAAGTATGTAATTAGCCTCACCATCTTCCAAGGTCTCACATTCACCATTTGCCACCCCAAATTCATGTATATTGACTGATTGTTTTTGCAGGGCTTTGATCCAGGAGAATTACAAGGAGAAGAGTCAGATGATAGTGATGACGAAGGCAAGTATTATGCTACTCTGCTTAACTTTGTGATAAACACTTTTGCATAATGTCATTACCTAGTTAACAAGCTCCAGACACCTGTCAGTGTCTATGGCTATTATTTTACACTGTACTAATTGAGTTTAGTATCACCCAACTAGTGGACTAATGCAAATCCTGCATTTTGATTGGCTACGCTACTAAAGGACTATTAGTAGTCCTCGAGTAGCGAAATTGGCGCAATCGAGCGTGACGCGTTCTTTCGTTTTATTCCCAAATAAAATTTCTTCAACTTGCATTTGCTAACTTTATTATTGCCTTTCTGTCCGACTAGTTGGGTGATACTAAAACAATTAGACCCTTCGCCCTCAAGGGACACGGTTCTGTAGCCCATTTCGCTTCGCCTCATGGGCTATTGACCTGTAGCCCTTGTGGGCTATGGGTCTAATTGTTAAGTAGTCACCAGGTGCAGTTAGTGTTAAGGTGGTGGTCTTCTAACAATGGCCAGCCGGGTAACCTGACATGAGCAGTTAATACATGGCAAAAAGATAGCCCTCTTAGAGGGGTGCCTCAGACAAGTTTTCTAAAAAAAAACATGTGAAAAGTTGGCTCTCCATGCCATAAGTGCCACTGCAACTTTCCTTGCACTGATATGTATCATGAAGCACAACAGTTTCAAATAGGCTAATATCCTGATTCATGAAATGAACTGGAAAGTTATATCTGTATGGCCTTGCTCACAACAAGGACTCCATAGCTCAGTGGTTAGAGTTTCCAAATGTCATCTAAAATGCCATGGGTTCCACTTCTGTGGGAGTGACTCAGAAATTATTTCTCTGAATATTTGGCCTTTTGTTGATACCTTAATTCTGATCCATATTTCTTTCTCTTTTACAGAGCTACCAGACTTGGAGAGTTGAGAATATTTAGTTGACTGTATAGAGAATTCATTAGTGCCTGACAAAGCAGCTCGGTGTCTAACTCGAACGTCTTGTGGTGGCATGTGACCTCCATTCTGGGGTGATTTGCTACCCAGCTGAGAAAGTGTCATTTGCTTTTACCTGGTGTTAAATGTTGCAATCTGTGTTATTCGTCAGTCTGAAATAAACTTGTCACTTGCTGTTGATAAGTGACTTTTGGTAGAAGAACTTGTCACTAAGTTGTAACTTGTACTTTTCAGCCCCAAGTTTGAAAATAACCAATTTCTCCTTACCTTTTGCCTTATTGCCTTGTAATGAACTATTCAGGAAAATTTGGTAGTAAATCAGCTGACTCGATTATCTTTTACTCCCATGTTTTTGAATCAAATGAAACTTCATTTGTCTTTGTACTCCCCCAATGTTTCTAGCAAACAGTTTACATCACCTGAACTTTATGAATGAAGTGTATGTTTGTGTGTATAATATATATTTTGTCTGTTACATATGACAAAATCTGACAAAGAATTTCTTTTTCTTTGAGACATCACTTGTGAGAATCTCAGAATTTTGTTTTGTTATGTACAAAATTATACATGACCTTCAAAACTCACTCGTTCACATCCTTACAGCAGAGCTGTTGGTCTTGTCTCCTACATCTTCCTGGCACAATAAGGAGGTGGGTTTAATGATCCCACACATACATGTTTGAAAAGGGTGCATCCAGAGGTCTGTTATTTATTTTGTTCCTCACAGACTGTTCTGTGTGAAACAGAGTAAAGAGTTGACATCTGCATGTAGGCTATGTGAAACATACCGGTACTCCCTGGTGTTAGTCACCTGACCTGTGTGTGTGTGTATGTTTCTTACAAGGGGACCCATTTAGAGCCATAGCAAGCTCATTACTTTTCTTCAGAATTATTGATAACATTCCTTGTAACAATAAATGAAATAGAAGCTAATTAAAAGCAATTTATTTTTATTGTCCAATCAGAGAAATTATATTTGTACAAATAGAGTTCAAGAGTTCAAGCAAAGCATATCCTGATGTTAATTAATAAATTAGTAATCTGTAATTGGGCCATATCATATATGGTCTTGAAATGCTAATAAAAGAGAGGGTACAGGGTTCACAGCACACAAGGCACCCATGCATGTGAAATAAGCAGGTCAATTGGAGAGAAAATGCCCACATTTGGGACCAAGACTACAGATGTCACCACCTGTACAAAGCTAGTTTACTTTTGTCTCGAAGCCTACTGCATGACTTACAGTTCTCAGATTAGCACTTGGGGCAGACAAACCAACTTCCAAGTTCCCCAACTTTGCCACAACTAATATTATGTCTTATTACAGGGCTCGTACCCTTTTTCAGAAACAAATTTCCAGGACTTTTCCAGGACTCAGATTGATTTTTCCAGGACTCTAAAATTCACATTAACCCTTTCACTCCCAAGATCTTAATGTTCATTCTCCTTACTGTCTGTCATACATTTCATATTTTTTTACTTGAGTTTAACAGATTTCCAGAACTTTCCAGGACCAGTAGCCCTTTTCCAGGACTGGAAAGTCCTGGAAAATACCACAATAAAGTTCCAGGACTTTCCAGGTTCTCCAGGACCCGTACAAACCCTGTTATTAACGAAGTGCTACCAACTAACCTGGCTACAACCTTTTTGACAGGTTTTATTGGTAATTAAAAGCCCTTAAAAATGTCTATCATTCGCCTTTATTTGACATTTTTAAAGTGATAAGATGAAGCAGGTGCTGTTGTTCAGGTTCAAGATATGACCAGAGTTCCTTTTCAAGCTCCTTCAGGGCTTCTACATCATGTGACTGACAAACCATCACTACTGACTGAAGCAACAGATACAGATCTTTGTTCATATAATCCACTGGGTACTTGGCAAGGTCACTTTCCTCTGAATACTTCTCCAATATCTGAGCATGCTGAGGACGAATACGTTGTGGTGTCGGTTGGAGTAACATCAATAGAAGGACACGCCCAATTTCACAGCGTGCTAAGATCTCTTGATATGGGCCTTGTAGTTTGCCTTGTTGCTGGCCCATGGCTCCTCGCTCCTCAGCAAAATAGGCCATCTCGGTGAGCACAGACAAGGCACCATCAAAATCACCTTGAGTAAATTTGCAATTTGTAAGTTCTGATATTGAATAATTACTACTAGTGTATATACTCAACAGATGGCTATCAGTAGTCCTTTCGTGGAGTCAAAGCATAGTATGTTTGAAAAAACTAAGGATACAAGGGTACTCTTTTCTACCTCCTCCCCTTAACATACATCTGTCTCCTATCCTGCCTGCCCTAGAGTAGAGGTGCAAAAAAGAAAGGGAGACGAGGAGTAAGAAAACAGGGAGGAGGAAATGCTATGCCTGAAACCTGTACAGTATTTTGTTTGGTTTCAAGCCCCTCCCCCAGAAAACTTTAATGGTTGCTTCTCACTTGTATGAGTCACAACCTGGGTGGGAGAGGACGGGGCATTGTGAGACTTCTGTGGTGTCTTGTACAAGTTACCGCAGCCAGACACGAAGCTGGTACACTTGATCCAGAGTTGAGTGAACAATAGACCCTGTGGTGCTAGGCTTCTTTAATCCAGCCCCACAAGAGTATTGTGAGAGAATAAATATTTTGCAGCAACTTACCTGTCTCAATTTTACATGATGCTACTAAAGTCATGGATTGTATAGCATCTATGGGATTCTGATGCTGTAACTCTGCCGCATGCTGGTAATGGACCATGGCCTCGTGGGGCCGGTTCATGTGTCTCAAGGCGTCCCCTATTTCCAGACACAAACAAGCCCCTAGTGCAGAGTTCCCCTGAGCACAATGTGTCTTGATCGCCTGGTTGAAAAGGTGTATTGCCTCGGTCAAGTGTTCCTCAAACGCAGGACACCTCAGTTCCACGCAATTTTTCTCCGCTTCCAAAAACAATCTTGCTGCTTCGGTAAGTGCCTCGACTTCTCCAGTCGCGTTAGAAAGCGTATTTTCGCATCTCGCTTTTGCTAGACTGCAAAAGCCGGCATATTGTGGACAGTCCTGTCGTTTCAATTCTTTGGCCAGAGAACCAAACTGATCGCTCGCTTCAGAAACATTGGGTTTTTTGAGGAAACGCCTCTTTAGCTTTGAAGCAATAGCACGGTACTGACCTAAAACGTCAAAATCACGATCCATAGTATCTTTTTGCCAAAGCTTTCAAGAGTCCTCAATCGATCAGCCATCCGCCATAACACTTTTTCCCGCGAAGCCTGCCGGGGTACGGGTATTATGTATTCAGCACCAGACTCTCCCTTCCAACATGGTGGACACATTGCTTTGTCAGTTTTCGTCTGAAGTGACTGTGAGCTTGTGACTTCGTGGAAGAATTACTGGTGTTTAAATTTTGTGCCGCAACCTTCAAATGGAAGGCAAACAAGTTGTAACATCTAGAAAGAGAAAACGTTTCGGGTAAGTAGATGTTCTACGGTGAAAATTTGGCTTTGTGATGAGCGACTTGAGAGCTTACTGTTGTTTAACTTAGTTGGTGATTGACGCTTGGACAAGCTGGCCATAAGTTATCTTCAAAGTCAAGCTTAAATTTACCTAAATCATCAAGTGAAAAACAAGTTCTCACTTGACTCTGCGGATAACTTCTGCTTAAGATGTCGATGTCAAACAATTGCAGCAAGTCACCAACAACTGTCTTTACTGTTATGCCAACGATCACATTTCATTAGCTATTAAGGGTGCGTGCCTTTGGGGTGATCTAGATCAGGATCAGTGACCCAAGATCTGTCTGGATCATGGTGCATCAAAGGAACCGATGAATCCGTGACCAGAGCGGATTCATCAGTTCCTTCAAGATGCACCATGATTCAGACAGATCTTGAATCACCAATCCTGATCCAGATCACCCCAAAGGAACGCACCCTAAGACTCCTGGGTTCAATCTTAAACTATGAAGCAAACATGTTACATGTCATTAGTAAGTAACCTTCAAAGATACAGAGAAGAAAAACTATAAAAGAAGAGGCAATATACCACTTTTCCAAATCAGCTATGAGGGTCCTGACCAGCGCCAGGGGTGGGGGATCCTGGTCGTGGCATGTTAGCTTACGAGCAGGTCCAACTATGCCAAAAAGATTTTTGAGACAGAAGCCTAACATAGGTAGCACACAAGCCCTCCTGGTTCAGTTCTGGCCCTATCTCTGTCACACAACACTACGCTCTGCTCCCAAGAGCATACCATTACGTGACAGAGAAAGACTTGACGATAGCCCACCAGGTCAGGAGATGTTTACACATCTGTGACAGCATCCTGTTATGGAAACAACAGTGTGAAGAACTTCCACAAGTTATGGGTGTAACCATGAAATGTCTTTTCAGAGGATATGATTTATATGACTGTTAATGGTATTATCCATTTGAAATAATGATGAAAAAGTATGCTATCGAGATGAATTTGATTGTGTTAGTACATGGTAACAGCTTTTAAGAATTGACATCAAACCTGCCATAACTGCTGGTTTATTAGAACATTTGTCTTAGTTTGTATTTAGTGTACAAAGGTGAGTTGGAGTTAGATGTAATAAGAGAGGGCAGACTTTTATAATATAACTTTTAGTGTTTCGTATACATTTCTTGATTTTTATTAAATATCTGATGTTTTCTTTTTAGCTGGTGGAAGAAACATGCACCCAAGGCAGAGAAAGTTGTAAAGAAGTCTGGTAATATTTATTATTAAGAACACTGAAGTTTTGCTAAATTCAGGATCACAATTCTTCATCTAATGTTGTTCATTGTCCATCAGGTTCGGGGAATTGTTGTACAGGTTGGCCAATATGTTTTCTTTCCACTCTAAAATTTTTCTTTATACGAAGTACTTTTCTCTTCAGAGTTAACAGTGGCCATCATCGGAGTTGATTATAGTTTGACAAGGTGGATTATTTGGCCTGAAAGATAACTTTCTTGCAAACATCTGTCTAACCAGCGATGTCATGGCCTTGGTGTAATGTCTATTTGTTTTTTTTCTTTTTTGTTGCTTATATTCCTTGCAGAAAAGCCATTAAAGGAGGCCCCAGAGAAAAAGATTTCTGTAAAACAAGAAAGTACTGACAAACTTGAAAATGATGAAAAGAAGAACAGATATATACTCTTTGTTGGTAAGCCTAAAGTTTAACCACCATTATCTAAAAAGTAAAAGTTTCAAGATGGTTTAAATGCTTTGGGTTTTTTTTAGTTGTGAAAGTTTATTTGATTTTCAGGTGTGCAATGTATTGTACTCATGTAAATAAGAAGTTACGTCCAAAGAATCTGCTGCTATTCTCCCTTTTCATTAATTCGGTTGACTTGTAAAAATTAAATAAATTTAATGCCATATTTCTTTGATTTGATTAGGAAACCTCCCATTTTCGGTCAACGAGGAACAAGTTAAGGATCATTTTAGATGCACAGGTAGTTTTTGCTAAAAAAATGAGCAACTTTTATAACTAACCACGTTAATCACCTCTTCAATTGCTATGTTGCCAGCATGGTTGTCCTGATGGTTTAGTGGCTATCACACCTGAGTGGTATGTGGGGAGCATGGGTTCAAATTCCACTCAAACCTTTACTCAATATATATGGATATTTCTATATGAAAAGATTCTCCAGATTTGCTTATTCTATGTTTGCTTGATGATCACTAGAAAACATCAAAGAATTCCGGCTGATGACCAAGAAAACAGGAGAATCCAAAGGCTGTGGATTTCTTGAGTTTGACAACAAAGCCAGCTATTGGGTTAGTAGAAGTTCATGTCACTCACTCACTCATGCCCATTACATTGGGTGGCAATTGGAGGGCAGCAACGTAATCCCTCCACAAATGCCAGTCCTTTGCCATCTGCTTCATTTCCTTCTCCACGTTCTGCTGCCATGTGATCTTTGGTCGGCCCTTCCTTCACTTTAGAAGTTCATGGACTGTAGGATATATATTCTTGACAGGGCTGTCATTAAGTTTTGAGTCACCTGTAGCCTCGTTCTCCACGTCCGTAGCAAACTTGTTACTTTTTGGTTGAATTCTATCAGCAACTGGCAATTTCACCCGTAGCATCAAGGAAAGATCAAGCATATACTCAGCTGTAACAGGTGTACTGGTTACGGCTCTTAATGACAGCCCTGCTTGATATAAAGTTCTGCTGACCATAAATTATTTAGGCAAGAACCCACTAGAGACCAATAGGTCTGCCTTCAAATCTTGGATAATCACTCAGGGTGTAAAGTAATAAATATTGTCAGGCTCACTAGTTTTAGAAATTTTTGTGTCCTGATAAAATTCCTGCTTTTCAAACTAAAAGACATTTCTTGTAACCTTACAGAAAGCCCTAAATCTACACCACAGTGTAATGGCAGGAAGAAAGATAAATGTGGAAATAACCTGTGGAGGGGGAGGCAAAGGAGAAAAGAGAGAGAAAAAACTACGAGAGCGAAAATCAAAGTTTCGTCAGGGAAGAAAACGAAAGTCAAAACCTACAAAAGTCAAAGCAAATCAGAAAGACAATTCACTTGCCAATACAAATAGTGATACATAGCAAATGCCAAATATATATTAATCAAGTAAAAATAATTTGATATTTAATTGATATTACAATCTTTTTTGAAGATTTAGGAGTGTCACTGTCAGACAGGAAATAAAGTGTATAGATTAGACCTAGTGCAGTAAAGGTCTATACAAACAAGAGCCAAAAATCTTCATTGACGTTTATCGTGGCCTAACACAGTCAGTGTTTTGTCATACCACATTTTAGAAGGTTTTAATGAGGTTGATTTTATTGAAATGCTGTGAAAGGATTTTAATATTAGGAATGTTCTCAAATTGTGCATGCTAAGTGAATGGTTGAGGTTTGTATTTTTCCTTTATCTGTAAATTATTTTTGAATATTTTTTTTGGTTGTTGCTGAAAGAAACTGTTGCCTTTTGGATCCATCAGGCAGGGTAGAAATATAGTTCAGGTTAGACTCTGTAAAACTTAATACTGTTGAGTTTTTGGAAATAAAACTCTCTTGTCAAATTATGTCTCCTTTGTCTCAGGCTGAAGCATGAGATGTTTTTCAAGTGGTATTCTGCATTTTGTTAATTTTTCTTGCTATCAATATTCAATGAGGGGTGGAAAGTTGCTAAGCGCTGTGCATTGTAAAACATCTGTCAATCAGTCGAGTTTGATTGACATCGGCAATCTGTTCATCGCGTCTGTTTGTCATAACAACACCTGTAAAAGTCATGTGACCAGCATTCACTTTCGCGAAAAAGATGGCGTCGGAGGAAAGTTTGCTTTTTTGCGTTCCAGAATTCTCTTCACAGGTTTTCTCAGGACTTCACTGTCTGCGAAAAGAGGGAAAGCTCTGTGACATACAGCTTCGTGTTGGTGATTTCAATCTGAGATCTCATCGAGTCGTTCTTGCGGCAGCTAGTAGCTACTTCAATGCAATGTTCACCGGGGACATGAAGGAAAGTCGGCAAGACGAAGTCGTGCTGTTTGGCGTTGAATTTTCAGCTTTGGAGGATCTCGTGAATTTCTGCTACACTGGAAGGATTGAGATCAATGTAGATAACGTGCAAAATCTACTCTGTGCGTCGAGTTTGCTTCAACTCGCCAGCGTCAAACAAGCTTGTGTCGAGTTCCTGCATCGTGTTCTTCACCCAACAAACTGCCTGGGCATTCGTTCCTTTGCCGACACTTACTCCTGCGTAGATCTTGTAGAGGCAGCCGATGTTTTCGCCGTGAAGAACTTCTCCGAGGTTGCGAGAAGCGAAGAATTCTTGACTCTTTCCCCCGAGGAGGTTGTGGAAATGATTTCGCGGGAAGAGTTAAATGTTCGCACAGAGGAAGAGGTTTTCGAAGCGATTTCAGCTTGGGTGAGGAGAGAGTTAGACGAGCGAAAAGATTTCCTACCAGAATTGCTGAAGAACGTCAGACTGCCGCTGATTAGCCCGCAGTATCTGTGCGACACAGTGTCTAGCGACGAACTTATTAGGAGCAACTTGGCTTGTCGTGATTTGGTAGACGAAGCTAAAGACTACCTTCTCATGCCTGAAAGGAGATGCAAGTTGCAGTCAGTACGCACAAAACCAAGAAGATGCAGTGAGGCGGCAGGGTTGATTTACGCCATCGGAGGTCTGACGTCCTCTGGGGAAGCCCTTAGTACAGTAGAGATGTACGACACTTTGACAGGACAGTGGTTGCCCGGTCTCCCTATGAGCACCCTGCGTACTCGTGTTGGTGTGGCTGTCCTAGACAACAAGCTGTATGCCCTTGGAGGATTTGATGGACACAAGCGACTTAGCACTGTGGAATGTTATGATCCGCAATTCCAGCTGTGGAAGGCAGTCACCCCAATGAATACACGTCGAAGTGCTCTTGGTGCAGTGGTCGTCAATGGGAGGATTTACGTTGTGGGAGGCTATGATGGACACATCTCCTTGAGCACAGTGGAATGCTATTCACCAGCAACCAACAGTTGGAATTTTGTGTCCCCAATGGGGACACTCCGCAGTGCTGCAGGTGTCACCGAGCTAAATGGCAAGATTTATGCTATTGGTGGTCACAATGGGTTATCCATATTTAGCACGGTGGAAACATATGACCCACAGACTGACACATGGGCACAGAGTCCTCCGATGGGTGTTCGCAGATGCCGAGTTGGCGTTGCCACCTTAAATGGGCGCATATACGTGTGCGGAGGTTATGATGGGAGTGCCTTTCTCAACACTGTAGAGTGTTATGATCCCGAGACTAAACAGTGGACCTTCACAGCCCCAATGAATACTCGAAGAAGCAGGGTTGCCGTGGTGACACTAGGTGGAAGATTGTACGCTATTGGTGGATATGATGGCTTGTCAAATCTCAATACTGTGGAATGTTTTGATGTGCTGAGTAATCGATGGACTCCTGTAGCTTCAATGGGAATGCATCAAGGAGGTGTAGGGGTTGGAGTACTTCCAAGAGGACCATATGCTTAACATAACATTTTGTTAAATATAATTTTTGTTTAGCAAGAATCATTATTTGCATAGAAAAGAATAGCATTGTATTACATTAGATTATTAGGCCAAGCTTCCAAAATTATTTATAAGTTTCTTGTTTTGCAAACAAGAGCAGCAGATGTAGATTAATATTTAAACATTATCATTTTGCATGCAGAGAGTAGAGAATGCTGGACTAGTGAAGAATTTGTTTTACAAACAAATCATATTCTGTTCAGAGTGGTGATATTTTTACCATCAAAAGACAAAAGCAACTTGCATTTAGCCAAGTTTTGGTTAAAACCATTTATAAATAACAATTTGCAAGGTACTTATTTGGTGTTCAAGTAGGCAATCTGATTAAATATTAATTGTATACATTTTTCTTTGGTCAGAAGTAACAGCAAGCAGCAAGTGTAAATTAAATTTCCACCTCTTTCTCTTTTTTGAGAAGTAGGAAGACATATCTGATCATGTTGGACACACATTAAATAAATTTATTTCAGCCCCAAGGTAAAAGGAGCTCTTTTACAATATAATTGCATTTGTCAAAATTATCTTAGTTACACCAGTTGCAACACAGTCCCCTAAAGCTATCATGCACGCTGAAACTTTCTTTGAAATTTTTTCAACAACAAACCTTTGCCTAGAGCACTACATTTATAGCAATTATTATAATCATTTTGTTATTAAAGATTTCAGAAAAGAAATTGTTAGTGAAAGAGAAGCACTAGGTAGGTAGTTTATAATATTTACAACAAATTAGAAGTAAAATTGAAAACTGAAAATAATTTTGCCAGAAAATTTGTTCAGTGAAATGAAGTCATTTAATATTCAATAGAACAAGTATATTCATAATTTGTTACAGTAGTTAAACAAACATTTGAATAAATTACCAATCTAGTTACAATATTATATATTAAAGAAAGCTGGTCAAGTAACTCTTTTGGGAAAACCTCAGGTCATATCAAGATCACTTTCATGTCTTTGACAAGACAGAGAGAATCATTTTCAGAAACTGAAAAAAAAAATGGATTTAAGAATTTTTGAATCATTGGCTATTTAATTTTGGACTACAACATGGCAACCATTAGTGACTACAAGTCTTACTGTAGGCTTCTGCACATTATACCGTTACTTACCCACTAAAATGCTTCAACTTATGCTCTATTTTCTAACCAAAATGCTGTGTCTACTCCTCAAAGAGCCACTAATGCTCGCAGTGCACATGCTTATTGCAGTCTTAATTTTATGAATTCAACATGGTATGATTCTTACATATAACTATCAGTCATCTTGGCATAGATGACTGTTTAAAACTAATTTAACAGGCTAGTTGTAAGTCACTCATGTTTATCCAGTGTCAGTTGTCATTTTCTCTTTAAGATATTTTCAGTCAGGCCAATGTTATACTTTCAGTAAGTTCTACACTCATGTAAATCTTTGAAAAAGATTAAGGTATGTCAAAAATACCAAAATTACCACTGGTTGCTAGACACTTTCTGTTTAATCCCACGATTCTGAACTAACAGAAGTACTTGAAAATTATGTAAATGAAAGAAATATATCAGAATAGTTTATCTTGCACAATTCTAATAGTATTAAGATGTTATGTAACTGTACTTTTACTTTGATTAAATCAGAAGGGAATCTTCATTGAGTTTGACTTTGTTGTGTATTGGTTGGGGGGGTCATGCTGGCTGAGGTTGAAGATAGACTGCAACTAATAGAAGCCCCATTTTCTTCAGCTTTTCTATGTCACGAAAATTAAGAAAGCAGAATGTGAGAAAGAGGGTATACCAATTCATTGTAGTCAGTACAGGCTAACATGCAAGTAAATGTAAAACCATAGTTGGTAGAGAGGACCTGACAAACTTCAAACTTATGGTAAAACAGGCTCCTCATTGTCATTAAGCTATAGTTATTATTATTATAATTTCGTCATCATTATTACTATTATTATTATCATTATCACCATTATCATCATCACCATTATCATTATTACTAGCAGTAATCAAAGATTGTGAGTGTGTTCTATGCCTTAACTTCAATACCTTGAATTATTTCATTACTAGCTGACTTTTAACTCCTGTTTATTGCTATTAAAAATCAACATTTTTATATCAACAACTTAAATTTTACTCAGAAAATGCTAAGATCATGAGAATAACAAGGAGAACGAGTAGATCTGATAGTTTTGAATATAGCTTTTTTAATTGAATTATCCATGAATGGAATAGACTGCCAATTTCAGCTAGAGATACTGATGCTGGGGGATCTGGGGGAGTTTGGGGGATTCGGTCGAACCCTTTAAACTAAAGAAGAGTTAGACATTATAACATGCCAACTTAGCCTCAGAAAGCAGGACTTCAATTTTAAACATTCCAGGGGGAGGATGCCCCCCCCCCCATCCCCTACAGAAGACTACTTAATATGGTCCGTATCGCAAACCTCTAAAATCTTGTATCCGCCTCTGTGATTAAATATCTATTTTTTGAAAAACAGTAAGAGTAATTTGAGGTTTTTTTTGGTTTTTGTTGTTGTTGTTTTGGTTAATCTAGATTTTTTTTTTAAAACATTGTACGTATGTATATAGATATAGTCTAACATTTTTTTCATGGGGGTGTCCCTAGACATGTTTTAGATATGTTTTAAATGTAGTAAGAAATTGTTTAGTTTGAGAGAACATTTTTCTGTCCACATAACCAAATATAATATTTAGCATTTAAGCAGCAGAAGCTAATTTGAAGTTTATGTCTAGAGCTTTGTGGCCTTAGACCCAGAGCTTTATCAGGGTCTAAGGGCGTCTCTTTTACAATGACTTGGTAAGACTGTAGGCTTGACTTTCAAACTGGTCCAAAATATTTAAATAAAAATAAATAGAATAATTAAATGTGCCAACATTTTCTCTGTTTCTCTTTCACATGCAGAAAGTGCATTTTTCGCTATCGGGAAGTCCAAGTTTTTGGGAAAGAAAGAGCGAGGGAAGTGAGCGCAAAGCACGCGGGGGTGGGGGTGGGCAGGCGAGCGAAGCGAGCCAAACGAAGAATATTTTTCTCGGTCCCCCATCCCCTACCCTGTCAAGTCTCCCGTTTTGCGCTGGNTAAAGTAATAAATATTGTCAGGCTCACTAGTTTTAGAAATTTTTGTGTCCTGATAAAATTCCTGCTTTTCAAACTAAAAGACATTTCTTGTAACCTTACAGAAAGCCCTAAATCTACACCACAGTGTAATGGCAGGAAGAAAGATAAATGTGGAAATAACCTGTGGAGGGGGAGGCAAAGGAGAAAAGAGAGAGAAAAAACTACGAGAGCGAAAATCAAAGTTTCGTCAGGGAAGAAAACGAAAGTCAAAACCTACAAAAGTCAAAGCAAATCAGAAAGACAATTCACTTGCCAATACAAATAGTGATACATAGCAAATGCCAAATATATATTAATCAAGTAAAAATAATTTGATATTTAATTGATATTACAATCTTTTTTGAAGATTTAGGAGTGTCACTGTCAGACAGGAAATAAAGTGTATAGATTAGACCTAGTGCAGTAAAGGTCTATACAAACAAGAGCCAAAAATCTTCATTGACGTTTATCGTGGCCTAACACAGTCAGTGTTTTGTCATACCACATTTTAGAAGGTTTTAATGAGGTTGATTTTATTGAAATGCTGTGAAAGGATTTTAATATTAGGAATGTTCTCAAATTGTGCATGCTAAGTGAATGGTTGAGGTTTGTATTTTTCCTTTATCTGTAAATTATTTTTGAATATTTTTTTTGGTTGTTGCTGAAAGAAACTGTTGCCTTTTGGATCCATCAGGCAGGGTAGAAATATAGTTCAGGTTAGACTCTGTAAAACTTAATACTGTTGAGTTTTTGGAAATAAAACTCTCTTGTCAAATTATGTCTCCTTTGTCTCAGGCTGAAGCATGAGATGTTTTTCAAGTGGTATTCTGCATTTTGTTAATTTTTCTTGCTATCAATATTCAATGAGGGGTGGAAAGTTGCTAAGCGCTGTGCATTGTAAAACATCTGTCAATCAGTCGAGTTTGATTGACATCGGCAATCTGTTCATCGCGTCTGTTTGTCATAACAACACCTGTAAAAGTCATGTGACCAGCATTCACTTTCGCGAAAAAGATGGCGTCGGAGGAAAGTTTGCTTTTTTGCGTTCCAGAATTCTCTTCACAGGTTTTCTCAGGACTTCACTGTCTGCGAAAAGAGGGAAAGCTCTGTGACATACAGCTTCGTGTTGGTGATTTCAATCTGAGATCTCATCGAGTCGTTCTTGCGGCAGCTAGTAGCTACTTCAATGCAATGTTCACCGGGGACATGAAGGAAAGTCGGCAAGACGAAGTCGTGCTGTTTGGCGTTGAATTTTCAGCTTTGGAGGATCTCGTGAATTTCTGCTACACTGGAAGGATTGAGATCAATGTAGATAACGTGCAAAATCTACTCTGTGCGTCGAGTTTGCTTCAACTCGCCAGCGTCAAACAAGCTTGTGTCGAGTTCCTGCATCGTGTTCTTCACCCAACAAACTGCCTGGGCATTCGTTCCTTTGCCGACACTTACTCCTGCGTAGATCTTGTAGAGGCAGCCGATGTTTTCGCCGTGAAGAACTTCTCCGAGGTTGCGAGAAGCGAAGAATTCTTGACTCTTTCCCCCGAGGAGGTTGTGGAAATGATTTCGCGGGAAGAGTTAAATGTTCGCACAGAGGAAGAGGTTTTCGAAGCGATTTCAGCTTGGGTGAGGAGAGAGTTAGACGAGCGAAAAGATTTCCTACCAGAATTGCTGAAGAACGTCAGACTGCCGCTGATTAGCCCGCAGTATCTGTGCGACACAGTGTCTAGCGACGAACTTATTAGGAGCAACTTGGCTTGTCGTGATTTGGTAGACGAAGCTAAAGACTACCTTCTCATGCCTGAAAGGAGATGCAAGTTGCAGTCAGTACGCACAAAACCAAGAAGATGCAGTGAGGCGGCAGGGTTGATTTACGCCATCGGAGGTCTGACGTCCTCTGGGGAAGCCCTTAGTACAGTAGAGATGTACGACACTTTGACAGGACAGTGGTTGCCCGGTCTCCCTATGAGCACCCTGCGTACTCGTGTTGGTGTGGCTGTCCTAGACAACAAGCTGTATGCCCTTGGAGGATTTGATGGACACAAGCGACTTAGCACTGTGGAATGTTATGATCCGCAATTCCAGCTGTGGAAGGCAGTCACCCCAATGAATACACGTCGAAGTGCTCTTGGTGCAGTGGTCGTCAATGGGAGGATTTACGTTGTGGGAGGCTATGATGGACACATCTCCTTGAGCACAGTGGAATGCTATTCACCAGCAACCAACAGTTGGAATTTTGTGTCCCCAATGGGGACACTCCGCAGTGCTGCAGGTGTCACCGAGCTAAATGGCAAGATTTATGCTATTGGTGGTCACAATGGGTTATCCATATTTAGCACGGTGGAAACATATGACCCACAGACTGACACATGGGCACAGAGTCCTCCGATGGGTGTTCGCAGATGCCGAGTTGGCGTTGCCACCTTAAATGGGCGCATATACGTGTGCGGAGGTTATGATGGGAGTGCCTTTCTCAACACTGTAGAGTGTTATGATCCCGAGACTAAACAGTGGACCTTCACAGCCCCAATGAATACTCGAAGAAGCAGGGTTGCCGTGGTGACACTAGGTGGAAGATTGTACGCTATTGGTGGATATGATGGCTTGTCAAATCTCAATACTGTGGAATGTTTTGATGTGCTGAGTAATCGATGGACTCCTGTAGCTTCAATGGGAATGCATCAAGGAGGTGTAGGGGTTGGAGTACTTCCAAGAGGACCATATGCTTAACATAACATTTTGTTAAATATAATTTTTGTTTAGCAAGAATCATTATTTGCATAGAAAAGAATAGCATTGTATTACATTAGATTATTAGGCCAAGCTTCCAAAATTATTTATAAGTTTCTTGTTTTGCAAACAAGAGCAGCAGATGTAGATTAATATTTAAACATTATCATTTTGCATGCAGAGAGTAGAGAATGCTGGACTAGTGAAGAATTTGTTTTACAAACAAATCATATTCTGTTCAGAGTGGTGATATTTTTACCATCAAAAGACAAAAGCAACTTGCATTTAGCCAAGTTTTGGTTAAAACCATTTATAAATAACAATTTGCAAGGTACTTATTTGGTGTTCAAGTAGGCAATCTGATTAAATATTAATTGTATACATTTTTCTTTGGTCAGAAGTAACAGCAAGCAGCAAGTGTAAATTAAATTTCCACCTCTTTCTCTTTTTTGAGAAGTAGGAAGACATATCTGATCATGTTGGACACACATTAAATAAATTTATTTCAGCCCCAAGGTAAAAGGAGCTCTTTTACAATATAATTGCATTTGTCAAAATTATCTTAGTTACACCAGTTGCAACACAGTCCCCTAAAGCTATCATGCACGCTGAAACTTTCTTTGAAATTTTTTCAACAACAAACCTTTGCCTAGAGCACTACATTTATAGCAATTATTATAATCATTTTGTTATTAAAGATTTCAGAAAAGAAATTGTTAGTGAAAGAGAAGCACTAGGTAGGTAGTTTATAATATTTACAACAAATTAGAAGTAAAATTGAAAACTGAAAATAATTTTGCCAGAAAATTTGTTCAGTGAAATGAAGTCATTTAATATTCAATAGAACAAGTATATTCATAATTTGTTACAGTAGTTAAACAAACATTTGAATAAATTACCAATCTAGTTACAATATTATATATTAAAGAAAGCTGGTCAAGTAACTCTTTTGGGAAAACCTCAGGTCATATCAAGATCACTTTCATGTCTTTGACAAGACAGAGAGAATCATTTTCAGAAACTGAAAAAAAAAATGGATTTAAGAATTTTTGAATCATTGGCTATTTAATTTTGGACTACAACATGGCAACCATTAGTGACTACAAGTCTTACTGTAGGCTTCTGCACATTATACCGTTACTTACCCACTAAAATGCTTCAACTTATGCTCTATTTTCTAACCAAAATGCTGTGTCTACTCCTCAAAGAGCCACTAATGCTCGCAGTGCACATGCTTATTGCAGTCTTAATTTTATGAATTCAACATGGTATGATTCTTACATATAACTATCAGTCATCTTGGCATAGATGACTGTTTAAAACTAATTTAACAGGCTAGTTGTAAGTCACTCATGTTTATCCAGTGTCAGTTGTCATTTTCTCTTTAAGATATTTTCAGTCAGGCCAATGTTATACTTTCAGTAAGTTCTACACTCATGTAAATCTTTGAAAAAGATTAAGGTATGTCAAAAATACCAAAATTACCACTGGTTGCTAGACACTTTCTGTTTAATCCCACGATTCTGAACTAACAGAAGTACTTGAAAATTATGTAAATGAAAGAAATATATCAGAATAGTTTATCTTGCACAATTCTAATAGTATTAAGATGTTATGTAACTGTACTTTTACTTTGATTAAATCAGAAGGGAATCTTCATTGAGTTTGACTTTGTTGTGTATTGGTTGGGGGGGTCACGCTGGCTGAGGTTGAAGATAGACTGCAACTAATAGAAGCCCCATTTTCTTCAGCTTTTCTATGTCACGAAAATTAAGAAAGCAGAATGTGAGAAAGAGGGTATACCAATTCATTGTAGTCAGTACAGGCTAACATGCAAGTAAATGTAAAACCATAGTTGGTAGAGAGGACCTGACAAACTTCAAACTTATGGTAAAACAGGCTCCTCATTGTCATTAAGCTATAGTTATTATTATTATAATTTCGTCATCATTATTACTATTATTATTATCATTATCACCATTATCATCATCACCATTATCATTATTACTAGCAGTAATCAAAGATTGTGAGTGTGTTCTATGCCTTAACTTCAATACCTTGAATTATTTCATTACTAGCTGACTTTTAACTCCTGTTTATTGCTATTAAAAATCAACATTTTTATATCAACAACTTAAATTTTACTCAGAAAATGCTAAGATCATGAGAATAACAAGGAGAACGAGTAGATCTGATAGTTTTGAATATAGCTTTTTTAATTGAATTATCCATGAATGGAATAGACTGCCAATTTCAGCTAGAGATACTGATGCTGGGGGATCTGGGGGAGTTTGGGGGATTCGGTCGAACCCTTTAAACTAAAGAAGAGTTAGACATTATAACATGCCAACTTAGCCTCAGAAAGCAGGACTTCAATTTTAAACATTCCAGGGGGAGGATGCCCCCCCCCCCATCCCCTACAGAAGACTACTTAATATGGTCCGTATCGCAAACCTCTAAAATCTTGTATCCGCCTCTGTGATTAAATATCTATTTTTTGAAAAACAGTAAGAGTAATTTGAGGTTTTTTTTGGTTTTTGTTGTTGTTGTTTTGGTTAATCTAGATTTTTTTTTTAAAACATTGTACGTATGTATATAGATATAGTCTAACATTTTTTTCATGGGGGTGTCCCTAGACATGTTTTAGATATGTTTTAAATGTAGTAAGAAATTGTTTAGTTTGAGAGAACATTTTTCTGTCCACATAACCAAATATAATATTTAGCATTTAAGCAGCAGAAGCTAATTTGAAGTTTATGTCTAGAGCTTTGTGGCCTTAGACCCAGAGCTTTATCAGGGTCTAAGGGCGTCTCTTTTACAATGACTTGGTAAGACTGTAGGCTTGACTTTCAAACTGGTCCAAAATATTTAAATAAAAATAAATAGAATAATTAAATGTGCCAACATTTTCTCTGTTTCTCTTTCACATGCAGAAAGTGCATTTTTCGCTATCGGGAAGTCCAAGTTTTTGGGAAAGAAAGAGCGAGGGAAGTGAGCGCAAAGCACGCGGGGGTGGGGGTGGGCAGGCGAGCGAAGCGAGCCAAACGAAGAATATTTTTCTCGGTCCCCCATCCCCTACCCTGTCAAGTCTCCCGTTTTGCGCTGGTGTCCGGTTCTCTCGCGATTCTATCCGTGCATTCAACGATAGAGTAAAAATACGAGAAACTAGAGGGCTGTGAACAGTCTATCTAACCTGTATGCAGGCTCACTTTTTAATTTTGAGTCACACCCGCAAGCGGCAAGGAGCGAGTCGGCCAGGAAGGGAGTCACTTCCTCAGATGCCGCGCTTGCACCTAAGCCGCTCGCATTTAGCTCTCCAAACGTGAGCCTGCTCGCAGGCAATGTTTGATCGATCAGCCATTGTTTTTTTTTTTGCTGAGTAAGGCATGCGCGTATCCAACTCTGTTTCCCTGGAGGATTCGTTCCTGATGATTTAGTTCCTTTTAGTTG